TTACGCATATTCATTTACTAAACATCACGAGATGAGACCTGGGCGATTGATAATCAAACAGCATGCAGAGTTGAGAATGTGCAAAAAATAAATGAATTAAGACAAGTGTTTCTGCAGCTATGAAAAACTCGATGTCATTTATCTCAATTTTATTCCGATATCAATATTCGTTTCCTACTAGAAATTGATTGTTTTCACTGTCGATAAGCATTTAAATATTAGCATAGCGAGACTCAATCGTCAGGCTGGCGTCGCAATTATAGCTCATTCCAGACGTTTGTTATAAACGGTTTGCATAAAAACACACAGAGGAAAAATAATTCACGCTACGGCAACATTCTGCTTAGTAATTTAAAGTGAAAATCTTTATCTTTTACCCGAAGAAATTTCTTGATTAAACAATTTTTTACTCGATTTCCCTTTCAATGTTGATCGACAAAAATTGCCTGAGAAGATTTCGCTCCGCCAGAAATATATCGTTTAAAGTGAAAACCTTTATTGCATTACTACTATATTACGTGAAAATACAAATTTATATGAAGTATACAATACATTATAAAAAAGTTCAAAGGTTATAAAATACAATAAGCTAAGGCGCATGCGTGCAATCAAATGTTATTTCTTAAAGTTATCAAACACGAACTCCTATTTTTGATAACATTTTTCAATGCCTGAAATTAACATACTAAACATTTATTAGGCCTTTGTATATCAATCTAATGTTCGCTGTTTAATGCATTATTTGCAATGGATAAGTTATTTTCACTGCACCAATATGTATCCAAATGCTGGAATATTTGTTGAAATGATTATACCAGCGCACACTGCACGATTACCACAGGCGAGATTAACGAATGTCTTACAACCACGGTATCTTACACCAAAACCAATCCAAGAGTCAGGGGACTCGCAGTTGTCTTCGTTGTTAGCAATGAATCCAAGTCGCGTTTCGATGGTGGACCATTGATAATTTCCTGGGACATAGTGTACATTAAAACCCTGAAGGTTGCAATATTGTTGCAATACAGAGCCCGCGATCAAGGACATCCATGTATTTCTCTCAGCGGCTGTGTTTCGATACTGCCCGTCTGCGATCAAACTGTACAGCGAACTGGCTTCATAATTCAACATCATCCATCTTCTGTCGCCATTAACGGTCATACCAAGACATATTTTCTTAAAAGGAGTGTTCCAATAAGAGGCCAGTTTACTTTCTTTCTCTGTTAGTCCTTCAAGTCCGTCTTCAACGGCATAACTTTCCTTGTTCATCCAGTAAGGCGATTCATAGGTGAATGTTTGCTAAGACAATAATAATTGTTTATTTGAAGTGGTTAAAATTATTTTTTGTTTACAGCAAGGCGAGTGATGAAAGGTCGGCTAAACATTCAAAAGAATAAACAAAATTTGTAACGTTTATACAACTCAGAAACTGGACGAAGCTGATCAGTTACACTTGAATTTTTTTTTTAAATTTGATGCTTCATTTAACGAGAATCTGATTGATTGCTGATTAGAGCAATGAAATCTTGCCTTATTTCCGTCCACTTTCAGCACTAGTGTCCAGCCTCCAGCTCCACAACCTGGAATGTCTGTCATGTAACAATATGCCTCATATGGTGTCGAGGATGTGTTTAACTGCAGAGTGTAAGTACCTTTAGGCGTTGATCTAGATTATATAATCTCTTTCAATACGTTTCCGCTAACATTCACACAAGAAAAACAGCCAATATCAGGTGTATATAAAACTCACGGTTTTTTGAGTAACAAGTCTTTGCAAGATGACGGAACAACTTCGCATTGTTTTGAAACTAAATTTATAAGAATGAAAACTGGTTATGATGCGGCTGCTCGGCAAAATAAAAATTCCACCAAATTCACTTTTATTTTACCTGAGGAATAAACCTCATTTGGCTCTTTGCACGTCTGGAGGAAAACATCCATAAATTAAATAGTTCAGTATTATTGTTCGCTAATACACGTATTGGATGCAAAGCAAGGCACACTGCATAACGTAAAAATATGTTTAATTAATGTCATCAGCTCATCGCTGCTGTTTTCCTGGAAATTTCTCATATTCCTGAACTTTATAATTTTTCTTTCTTTCGATCTTTTCTTTGGTTCATCCAAACGGAAAATATTTCAGCTGCTGATATTTATGAACTGGTTTCTATTCTACATTTCAACTCTCTTTGCTCATAGAGGTACGTTTTAGTTTTGATGCACTACCGCTATAGTTTCAGCGTTTTATAATTATTTAAATTGTTAAAATACCTACCCTTTTCCTTAAAGGATTTGTCAGTTCGTAGTAATCGAAGTCTTTTTCAAGATGAAAATCTGCTGCAGATATTTCTGATGCAATATCGTAAAGAAATTCACAATTGTTTTCCGAATTTGAGCACTTTTGGAAATTCGTAGATCTGCAGGCTTTATTGTCACGTGCACAAAAGTAAATGCATTCTACTCCCGTTTCTGCGTGGACTTTTTCTATCACTTCGCTGTTCAAACGATGACCTAATTTGAGTAGCGAAAAATTGGAGGTAAGCATTATGAAGCAAGTGTAAAATTGTAAATTTTCCTAATCGAAACTTTTCGAAGCACAAGCAAATGCAATAAAAACATTGTTAAATATTAATTAACTGCAGCATCTTGTGTGGGTCTGTGTGCTTCGCAAGGAGAAACTAGAAATATATTCGTGCAGAATATTGATCTCGTTTATTTGAACAAAGTAACGTGTTTTTCTAAAAGTAAAGTTTTATTCACCTTATGTGACAGTTATGTGACACGAATATTTCAGTTTTTTGTTAAGAGAACGAAACATTTGTACTCGTACTATTAATTGATTGAATTCGCAGTCAAAAGTAAAGTAAGTACCTTTATCAAGTACAACTTTAGCTTGCAAATTCAGCCATCAGAAAACTAACATTTAAGGGCAAGGTGTGCTTCCGCGCAGCGATTCTCGTTCTGCTATATTTGCTTCATGGACATTATTAGCATTCGCAGATATAATTCCATTTCTTGCGATGTGAGGCAAAAATTAAACGTATTTTTCAACACGTACCTTTCTTTGGTCCTTGAAAGCAAAAGTCAAGACCATAGCCAAAAGGTTGAAGATTCAAAAATATTAACAACGAAAGACTGACTTTGACGAATGCATACAGCAAACGTCTTGGTTGAATAATCAATTCCATATTCACTGGCTGTTTTTGTTGAACAACAGACATGTTTGTTGTCAGTCGAAACTCCATGGTTTCTTTACTTTCTTATCCCCTTCAAATTTTTATCGATCGTGATAATTCAACTCCAATAGAAAGACCTATTTGGACACGGCTGGGTCAGCCTCAATGACAATACGACGAAAGCAGTCTTGTAAGTTAATGGGGTGTATTCATCTGTGTTAGTAACCCAATGTTTTTTCCAAATATTATCATGCTAACATATGCCACTTCGGGAAAAACAAACACACTTATTCATCTGCATTCTGTCTTTCATCAAGTTTTTTGGTTATGAATAAACCCAGTGTCAATTATGCTTTATTTCATCTCGTTATATATTGGTAACAATAAGCGACTAACTAGAACTTGTTTTTGCACTTGGCGGGCGATTTATTCTTTCGATAGAATGTGATCGCGCGGATATGTTACGGACATTTAAAAAAGGGCACTTATTCAGACAGTACTCATTACCTTTCCCCTCTTTTGCATCTGTCAGATGAAATTTGCAAAAAACAGCCAGCCTTTTAATTTCTTTGGTCTTTAACGGTATGTTATAGCCTTTGTCTTCAAGTAAGCCACACTCAACTTCAAGTTTTATGTTAGTGCACCGGTGAAAAGCCGCTTTCAACTCATCCATAATTTAGCCAGCCTGACTAACTTGGCTTGCCCCCCCATGTCAGCCACTGGCTACGTCCATACCTAAGTGGCTAAAATATTTAAAACTAAGTTTACACTTTGTTGGCATATTATATTTCAAACATTTAGTCGTTATATCTTTATTAAAACGGCAGTTTAATTTAAATGCTTTGGAACTTGTTTATCATGTAATGAGATAATTGACTAACTTCTTAAATTGGTCGTTTCCGACAATGTCTCTCATGTGTTGTGTTTTAAATTAACGACGCTGACTGATAAACCGACGCTGATGCGTAAAAACTAATATAGGGCACTCCAAGTTTCACCTGCATGTTCTTCTATAGAATGCCATATATCCCTAAGTATCCTTATAGATGTCCTTATTATATACGCTCTAGCTTGGGGCCGGTTGTGTAAAACTCTTTAACTACATTTTATGCATAGTTAAATCCTAGTTAACTCAGAAATACACAATCTGGTTAGCCAATTCATCGGGAACTTTTATAATGCAATGTGAGGAAACAGCCATGGGTATTTTTTCTTGCATCTGGCTTCTTCAGTTATGAAAAACTCGATGTCATTTTCCATCTTTAGGCTTTATTTTGTCTCATGGGTACCAAGCAAAAACAAATGCAAATTTTATTGTACTATAAATATGTTTGTTATAAACGGTTTGCATAAAAGCACACAGAGAAAAAATAATTCGCGCCACGGCAGAGTTCTGCTTAGTGCTTTAAGCACTAAGAAATTTCTCGATTAAACAATTTTTAACTCGATTTCCCTTTCAATATTGATCGACACAAATTGCCTCGTTATAAATGAAAACCTTTATTGCATTACTACTGCATTACGTGCAAATACTAATTTACATGACGTCAGTGGCGTAGCCAGCATCGATAATTGGGGGGTCCATATTCATATGTCATATGTCCAGCTTAATAAACTGTAAAGACAATTGATTTGAAAAGAAATTAATCCCGCGTATCACGAATATATGAATATTGGCCCCCCCAATTATCTTTCTGGCTACGCCACTGCATGACGTATATAATATATATATATATATATATATATATATATATATATATATATATATATATATATATATATATATATATATATATATAGTTATATATATATGCATGTCTATAGGTTAAAAGGTTATACAATAAGCCAAGGTGCATGCGTACAATCAAATGTTATTTCTTAAAGTTATCAATGAATGAGTTATTTTCACTGCACCAATATGTATCCAAATGCTGGAATATTTGTTGGCATGAATGGTTCACTACACACTGCACGATTACCACAGGCGAGATCAACGAATGTCCTACAACCACGGTATCTTACACCAAAACCAATCCAAGAGTCAGGGCTGTCACAACTGTTTTCGTTGTTAGCAAGGAATGCAAGCCTCGCTTTAATGGTGTCCTCGCCACCACTCCAAGATCTCTTTACATTAAAACCCTGAAGGTTGCAATTTGGTTGTAAGTAAGAGCCCGCGATCAAAGACTTCCAAATATTTCTCTCAGCGGCTGTGTTTCGATATTGCCCATCTGCGATCAAACTGTAAAGCGAACTGGCTTCATAGTTTAACATCATCCATTTTCTGTTGCCATTAACAGTCATACCAAGACATATTTTCTTAAAAGGAGTGTTCCAATAAGAGGCCAGTTTACTTTCTTTCTCTGTTAGTCCTTCAAGTCCATCTTCAACTGCATAACTTTCCTTGTTCGTCCAGTAAGGCGAAGCGTATGTGAATGTTTGCTAAGACAATAATAATAGTTTAGTTGAATAAATTATTTTTATGTGCAGCATAGCGAGTAGTGAAATGTAGTCTAAACAATCAACAAAATAAACAAATTTTTAACGTTGCGCTTAAATTCCCGTTTTGTAATTTCTTGCTTCATTTAAAGAGAATCTGATTAATTGGTGCAATGAAATCTTGCCTTATTTCCGTTCCCTTTCAACACTAGTGTCCAGCCTCCAACTCCACAACCTGGAATATCTGTCATTTGACAATTTGCCTCGTATGGTGTCGAGGATGTGTTCAACTGCAGAGTGTAAGTACCATTGGGCGTTGATCTAGATTGAATAATTCCTTTCAATACGTTTCCGCTAACAATACACACAAGAAAAACAGTCAATGTCAGGTGTATATAAAACTCACGGTTTCTTGAGTAACAAGTCTTTGCAAGATGACGGAACTACTTCACGTTCTCTCAAAACTAAATTCGATAGAAAAAACAAAGGTTATATGCCGCTTGTAATCGGCTAAAACTACCAATAGAAATACATAGTGAAAACGCATTATATACACTCTTATACTTACTTGTGGAATATACCTGACCAGGGTCCTTGCTCAACTAAAAGAGAGAATACCAAAGCAAAATATTGATTAATATCAACTGTGTACAAAACCAAGTTAGATATATAACCTAGCCCAGGAAGTATAAATATCATTCAATAACATTTCCGAAACCTTCCAAAATCATTGAATATAATTATTTCAATAGAGGGTAATTTTCTTGAGACACAGTTTATAACACAGTGAAATTTCATTAAATCCCCTTGTGGGTAATCATGCGCGTTTAAAATGAGATAATTTCCATAGTGCCACTTTTTGGGGCACAGTAAAAAAATATTTGGAGAAACTTTATACTTGTGGGTCCCTACAGGTTGCTGAGGCATTTAAAAATCCAATCGTTAGGGGTGAATTCAATGGTTTTGATTTTTTTAGAACACAGTGTATATCATGAAAATTTTCATGTGATGTGAGGGAAATACTTGTTCATTTCTAACTCAGCTGCATTACTAAATAACGTGTTAACTTACTGGTTTAATTATGACAAGATGGTTGAATTCAGGGGTGCTTGTTTTATCGTCATCAGTTATGTCTTGATGTGTCTTATTGTTGAGCTCACAGCGACCTTTACCGATACCAGATGTTTTGTAATTGATTGAGGCACACGATTTATGTCGAGCGCAGATCAAACCACAGTCAAACTCGAACTCTGCTTGTTTTGTTTCGATGACATGATTCTGCAAGTATTTTTGTTCGTATTTTCGAAACACGACTTGCTTTGGGTATTCGTCTGGAGAGAAAAGGAGAAATTTTGAAATATTTAGTGGCTAAAAATTGCTATAAATCTTGTTTCAACTTATTAAAAAAGCTTGGAATAAGAAATATGAATCCAACTTGTTGACATCTCGTGACAGAACTTGTACACTGGCAACCTTTTTGCAGACTTGTCATGTTATAAGTCAAATTTGGCATATTAAGGTATTTCTATATTCCCGTCAAATTGAGAAAGACCTTCTAAATTTTAAAATCTAATGTATGATGCATGTTTGAACAAAACGCGACTGTATAGAAATGGCTTTTGCCTTCGAGATTCACGCATCGTTACCAGACGTGCATGATGGTCGGGCAATGCAACATGATATTTATCTCAATATTTGTGCTTTCTGTAGCCAATAAATTTTAAACCGTTCAAAGGTTTTGAAAATTACTCAACGATACTACATTATGATCGAAAAATATCCCCATCCATAACCGCCGAAATTTTCTTTCGGATTCCAATTTATTTGTAGCAGAAAATTCGTAAAACTTAAGCAGCTAGCGAGGTGCGTCTCCACTCACTTGACTTGAGGGAAAAACTTTAACATTAAAGACAAACTGCGTGTGAAAACAAGTTAGTACAAGACCATATCCAAAAGTGTGAAGATTAAAGATTATCAGAAACAAAGGGATGACTTTGCGAAATACACAAAGCAAACGTCTCGGTTGCATAATCAATGCTATATTCCCTGGCTGTTTTTCTTGGTCAGGCGACATCTTTACCGCCACTCGAGACCCTTTATCCTGAATAAACTCAGCGGTTTCTGTTCCCTTTAAAATTTTATTGACAACTAATTCAACTCGGATAGAAAGACTTTTTGGGATACTTAGTTTGGCTCGGCCTGTCTGAGAACATTGAACGCAGTTTCGTTAATGGAATATATTCAACTGTGCTAGAAAGCTAAATATACGCCACATTTGTTTTTTTCAAATCATCATCACGAACATCTGTCGCGAAAACACACACTTATTCATCTGCTATAACATGACGAGATGAGAAGTAAGAATTAAAACAAGTGATTCTGCAGTGTATTAAAACGGAACGAACAAATGAAAATATGCATTGAGAACATTTTCCATCTTTAGGCTTTGCTGTATGGGTAACAAGCGACAACATGCAAATGCAAATTTTATTTTAAGCACTTAAATATTATAGCTACGATATATAGCTCATTATAGACGTTTGTTATAAAAAGTTTGTATAAAAGCACACAAAGGAAAAATAAGTGAAAAGAAGGTCTTTCACCCGAAGAAATTTTTCGATTAAACAATTTTTTACTCGGTTTCTGGTCCGCTTTATAATTTTATTGACAACCAATTCAACCCGAACAGAAAAGACTTATTAGGACACTCGTCTGGGTGTCACTGCCTGTCTGAAAACAATTAAGAATACTGTCTCTTTATTGGCCACGCCACGCTTTATTTTTTTAAATTATTCTTATGCACTTGAATTTTTTTAAACTATTCTTATGCACTTGAAATATTCTTATTCACATTACTGCTGTATACGTGCAAATAGAAATTTCCATGAAGTATATAGTACATATTATAGAGCTTTTAGCTTTGTCTATAGGTTCAAAGGTTATACAATATACTAAGGCACATGCGTGCAATCAAATGTTATTTCTTAAAGTTTTCAAACACAAATTCCTATTTTTGATAACATTTTTCAGTGCCTGAAATTAACATACTAAACATTTATTAAGCCTTTTTGTATATCAATCTAATGTTCGCCGCTTAATGCATTATTTGCAATGAATGTGTTATTTTCACTGCACCAATATGTACCCAAATGCTGGAATATGCGCTGGAATGATTGGTTTACCACAAACTGCACGATTAACACAGGCGAGATCGACTCTTCCACAACCTGACAAGCTTAAACCAAAACCAATCCAAGAGTCAGAGGTCACACAGTTGTCTTCGTTGTTAGTAATGAATCCGAGCCGCGTGTAAATGGATTGTCTTAAGGTTATTTTCCACTCAGGAAAATTCTTCTTTGGATCGGACAGGACAAGAAAGTTTCCTTTGTATAAACGCCGCCTGAGAACTCACCGACAAAGGAAATTTTCCTGTCTGTTCCGATCCAAAGGAGATTTTTCCTGAGTGGAAACTAGCCTTTAACAGCCAATGCGTAGTGTACGAAAGTAAACATCCAAGATGGCGGTGCAAAATGAATTGATGGCTCACGTCACATTGCTTTCATTTAGCCGCACACAGAAAGATTTCGGCGCGCGAGGCAGAAATTATTAAACATGCTGGATAATTGCAGTAAGTGACATGGCACGAATAACCAAAGTCGCGGCAAAAGTTGCCCACACAGGAGAGCAACTGGCTTACGCTAATGACTACGATCGCGAATGACTTTTTGCTAAGCACAAAGCGCTGGTGTGCGTCGGCTTTAAGGCATACATACATTTTTATGCCTACAGTGGTGTAGGAAACACGAAACAATAATTGAGAGGGGGCGCATATTCATATATCATAATATAAATATTTATATTAACAGCCTTGAAAAGCCAATCAATTTGAAAAGAAATTGATCTTGCACAACATCGATACATGAATGTACTTCCTCCCCCAATTATCGTGCTTCCTCCACTGCATGAAGGCCTAAAAACGTTTAGTTCAGTTACAATGTCAATGCTGTGAAATATAGTTAATATATATAAACTACGTGTAAAACTAGATGATTTCTCATATAGATAATTAATAAACTCTTTTATTTTGGCGATCAGTCGGCTAAATATATAATAAAAACAATTTAGTTTACTAAATAAAACGTTTATTTTAATGTAGTGGAACTAGTTTAGCTTGCAGTTCGATGAGTCACAAGCCTCCTACATTAGTAACTCTCAGCAATGTTTTTTTTTAGTTGTGTCAGAAATTAAAGACGCCGACTGATAAACGACCCCGTCACGTTCAAGCTAGGGTTGGGACACTCAGTCGAGTTTCACCTGTGCTCAATATAGAATGTCATACATACATGATGAGGTCATTGTCGCAAAATTTATTGATTTACAAATATATCACAATGTAACTTTGAATTTTGTATTTATGTGTACTGGTTAATATTACACATCGATGGTAAGACAGACAGTTCAGTTTCAAACACATGCACTCGCGAATTGGGACATAAATTATCTGTATACTGAGTATACTCACAATTTATGTAAACGAGTTATCCCCGAGCGGGCGCTGAGCGCCTGCGAGGGTACTAATTCCGCTCGGAGATTAGGAATTACACCCGGAACCCGGTAGAACATAGGCGAATCCAAAGTTGTCCAAATTCTTTGTCATGGACGGTCGACGTTATGTGGTTTTGTAAGTTATGCGCATGGGAGAGTGACGTCTGGTAATCAACGAACGTTCTGATTGGCTAAGACAGAAAGTTTGTATTTCAATGAGAACGTCAGCAATTTATATTAACTCATAGGCAGCCCAGACTTTGACTTGCGCGTGTGATACTCGCGCGCGTGTCGCGCTTACGTTGTTTACTTCGTCTATATATTATGACAAGGTACGAAAGAGTTTATCAAAATATGACAGATATACCTTCGTAAATGTATAATTATCTAAAAAATTACTTGAAAAAACGCCACAAAAACTACAACCTAATAATTACCGATGATTAAACTACATTATCCTGCAGTTTCCATGTTTTTAAACAACATCTAAAGCCTTCAAATTAGCGAAGTAAAACAGGAATTCATACGGAATTTTGAGAAAACTATCCAAGGGTCACTCCGCCTAAGGAATCGTCATCTTTTTTGAGATATTAACTAAACGCTCATTGGCTTACCTGCAGGACCACCAATGAGAACCAATGAGCGTTTAGTTACTATCTCAAAAAAGATGACGTTTCCTTAGGCGGAGTGACCTTCGGATAGTCTTCTCAAAATTCCGTATGATTTCCTGTTTTATTTCAATACGACGAACGCAGTCTTGTAAGTTAATGGATGGGAGCAAACACACGTATTCATCTGCATTTTGTCTTTCATCAAGTTTCATTAGTTATGAATAAACCCAGTGTCAATTATGATTTATTTTTTGTCGTTATATAGTGATAACAAGCGACTAACTAGATCTTTTTTAATGAGTTTACTTTTTTCAGTTGAGGCGATTTTTTTTTCAGTTGAGGTGCAGACTATACTTATTCAGATGTAGTTTATTAATATTGTCATGTTTAATAAGTCCCTAAATCGCGTTCAGGCGGATGGACACAGTGTTCATAGCTCCGAGTCTACAAATAAAAATCTCATTGACGCCTTTGATTTCCTCAATATAAATAAGTATATAACATCGGATAGCATTTCTTACGACGGTAAGCGAATTAAATGGCAGGATAGCTACGAATCCTTGCAAGATTTTGTGGCGAATGCCTTCGGTCAACAAGGCAAGTGGCGGCGGTCAGGAGGCGTTTCAAAGTGTTTTGATGCCCATAGCACAGATCTATCTATGACATGGTATCCCGGAAAGTTAAATACCTTAACTTTCAAAGGAACAGTTGGAGAAACAGAAAAAGCCTGTTTGATCGACCTATTGACGCCACCTAAAGATATGCCGGAAAATGCTTTCAAAAGTATTGACCATCATGATAACAACTGTGAGTATTTAGAAAATATAATGTTGGAGATTGAAATTCTGAATAGCAAGGTCGACTCAATGCAGGCCCTAAACGATTCCCGTGGTGATCCCCCATCAATCATAGTATCTAAACTGTCTAAAGAAGTAGCTTGCCTACATATTGATCTTGAGGGAGAAAAGGCAAAGAACAGTGCTTTAGAGCACGAGGTAAACGGTCTCAAAGATGAGATTTTGTTAATTAAATCATATCTAAAGGGAACAGCGAACATAGAGAACAATACAGATTAAAGTCCTGTTGGATTAGCCTCAGTTAATGGCAAAAGTAAACTACCCAATGGTCTGGGTCACGAATCGGTGCTTGAATATCAAAACCATAACCGTATAACGAGAGGCTTAACAGCTGCTAATGATTCAGTCATTATTGTTACTGATGTCGAACAAATTGATCCAACTGCAGGTCATCTCCCTAATGGAAATAAAAGCCACCATTGTCTTAGTCCAAATTTTGATCAACTAAATGCAAATCAACTAAATGCAAATGATTCACTAAGACAACAGGTTTATCATTACCGCGCCAAACAACACAAAGCATTCCTCCAAAAACACGATTGTGAAAGCGAATTGCGCAAGATGCCTTTCCCTGCAAGACCTAGGCGTTGTGGCTCTATACCTAGAATTCAAGACTCAAATCACCCCTCTATAACTGATCGACATCTAGTCAGAAAGATCCAACTAAAAGATCCAACTGCCGGTCATCTCCCAAATGCAAGTAAAAGCCACCGGTGTCTTAGTCCAAATCTAGATAATCAAAATTTTTTATTAAAAGCGTCCAGGAGAAACCACCGTCCAAGGAGAAACTACCGTCCAAGGCCGCCTCGGAATCCAACAAGGATCCAGTTCTGGCAGCCGCCAACGCTTATAAAGCCCCTGATAAAGTTCAACTCGAGTCTTCAAATAGACCCCATAGAACAAATGAAGTCGTGGAAGGAATACCTCCACTATGTTCATCGAGTAACACGGAACAATATCAGCCAGCAGAGATGAGAATACCTACTAGGATTACTTACAGAAAAAACAAACGGCGGGAGCGCATCTGGGTTCCCAATTTTAGATTATTAATCCCATTGAAG